TCAGTAAACATCGAAAATTTTTATAAATCTTATGTGAGCCCTGAGAAATTTCCGCTTTTGACGAAAAATGCAAAGCAAATGATGTCTCTGTTCGGAAGTACGTATGTTTGCGAACAATTATTTTCAACCATGAAATTAATCAAAAATGACCACCGATCAAGACTGAGTGATGCACGATTAGAAAGCTGCGTACGTGTAGCTACCTCATCAATTCCGGCTGATATTGATCAGCTTGTATCGAAAAAACAGTGCCAAATTTCTCATTAAAAATTTCAAGTAAATTCGTTTTTCTGTCCTTTTCTTGTTTGTTTTTATTTTGCATTAAAACTTATATATGAAATCTTTACTTTTTTTTAAATTTTATATTTTTTTATTCTAATGTTTATTATAAATAAAGTTTTGTAAATTATTAATAAGTGTTACTTTATGTGCGGCCCGCCAAAAAATTTTAAAATTTAAATTGGCCCGTTGATTAAAAAGGTTGCTCACCCCTGTTGTACCCGGTCAGTCCTTGACAAATCGATCCTGACTCCCATCATACGACTTTCAAATTATGGGCCTAGTTGAACCCTTTACGGGTGTGAAAAAGGACCATTTAATGTCAATAGAGAGGAAAGAGATCTAAACTAAAAAAATCCATAATTGATGTAGAAAAAATTACATTAGGGCCTGTAGGGTAATAAAAATTTAAGTAAATATTATTTAATGATGACGCCTATATAAAGAAAAGTTTTAATATTAGCATAAATTACTACATTTTATATTTTTCAAACTACAAATATCAATTTTTAATTTTCATATTGCTTACTAAACTAAAACAAAAAATATAATATATAATCTTCAATATACACGATGAACCAAAAATTCGGACTCATCAAAATCTTTACATAATTCTTACATTCGTTTTGATACTTTTTCAGCACTAACCCAGCGAACTTTAAAGTACCTCTTCACAGTTGGGAGTTTAAATATGACTGGAATACTTGAAGATCCTTGGATTCAGAGGTCTCAATGCTGACTGGCTACGATTACGACCTCTGGGCAGATAAAAATTTATTATTTTGATTACTGTTTTTATCTCATTCTCCATAAATCGGCGTCACTATTCACTTTTGCGGAAAAAAAAGCACTTTTGCTGGCTTATGACTTTGCGTTATAATTCTTGACTTTGTTCTTTCTAATTAGTCCAGTCTACTCGATCTATTTATGAGCATGTTTTGTTTCGCAATGTCTCTTCACTTACTTTCATTACACCAGTAGTTTCTTTGCAAAATTAAGCTTAATGCTTTGCCGTTATACTGTATGAAAAGTAAGCCTCACTCTATTTTTCCCGAAATATGCGACATTCGTCACTTACTTTACATTTTTGGAAGATGTAACGGCAAAAGTTTTCAAATAAACTATTCTGAAAACTCTAACGACAATCAAATAGTAAACAAACGATTTTTCGGCTTCTCGTCTGGCAACCATGTTGGCATGGTTTCCAGACGACAAGCCGAAAAAATCTCCACCTACTCCCATAAAAATCGCGAGACTTATCAATAAGATTCTGAACTTGCGCTATTTAGTAGATTCAAATTTCCATTTCTTTGTCCAAAAGTTATAATAAAATAATATCGCGAGATTTGTGGTCTTTCGTGAGATCCACGGGAGTAGCTCTGCCCTGTTCGTGGAATACTTGAGATTGCATAGTTTTAGGGAGTATAGTGTGGAGGCTTGCCCACCCGGGCGCTGAGGTTCGAGCGATAGCGAGCATTGAAGCGCAAGACTTCATGTGGAGCCTTGATGAAACGGAGTATGGAGATTCTCAGGCAGTATTAATGGTTCAACCTAAAAACTGTTTTCGCTCAGTAGCAGTTAATGTGTTTATTATTTGTTATAGGTACTGCTCGCCGTGACTATAACTTAAGTTGTTTGCGAACATGACGCCCACAAGCAAGATGGCGACCGAAACTGCCGCCATTGGTACCTCATTTGGAGACAAATATCACTTAAAGCGTCGATTGTCAGACTTTTCTTTATTCTTTACTGATAAATATCAATGGAGTATCTGATCATCGTGCTCTACTGACTATTAAACACGCCACGGGGCTTAGCAGAGCACGCTGGATGACTCCTATAGCACTCGGAAGTAGGCTTTAGGTTGATTTCGGAGGGCTATATCTCGCGAAAGGGTCACATTTACTTTCTTTGATTTTTTGCTACGGACACGCGTTTCAGCTCTGTAAAGATCCCAACAGCATCATCCACATCTGCAATCTTACTATATATTTTTTCGATTGGGATGTCAATTGTATAAGTTACTTGAAATGGATAATCGGATCTTAACCTCAAAGCATTAGTTCAATGAACAAGTATCATAGATTGTTGATTAGTAACAAATTTTATTTTTTTAATATTACCTTTTTATTCTGCCGGGTGACAAATAATGACGTCAACGGCTGCATAATGTGCATAACATAAAGTGTAAAGTGGGCTGATTATATTTTTAATCAATGATAAACGTAAATTGCACTACTATAATTCTATGAAGTTTTAGAACATATTTATAACGATATAATCAAAATTATAAAATATGTTACGTTAAAACGATAACTATTTTGAATGTGACATTTCAATAAAATAGCCATTTAAATATATCTACAGTAGAGCCTCGATTATCCAACTCAATTGGGGACTGGGGCTGGTCGGATAATTGAAAAGTCGGATAACCGAAAAGTATGAAAAATTTCATTATTAGTGTAGTATATTATTATATCCCATGTAATTAGTATATTAGTATATCGCTATTAACCTACTTCGCGTTGAATTTTCATCGATGTTAAGCCTAACAAAAATTTTTAAAAATAATAATCGTTGCTATTGTATCGTTAAAAATTAGAAAATTAAGCCTCGTTTAAATACTGGCTCCCTTTCATGGTCGAATGAGTGTTGCCAGCTAAAACACGTAAAAATAATATTAAAGTAGCCAAGACATAGCCAAATATTGTAGCGCCACATCACTAGCGGACATTTGAAATTTGCCGACTAGGACGGTCGGTTAACCGAGGTGTCGGTTAATCGGGGGTTGGATAATCGAGGCTCTACTGTATCTTTAGTTTTACTATTTCTTAATTGAAAATAAATTTTATTTTATTCTTACTATGATATATTTTAAATGAATTTAATAATCATTGACTACATAATACATAACTTAACGCTGCTATGAATCTTCATATTATGAATTGATTTAAATAAAATACGAAATTTCTTAACATTACTCTTTTCTATCGCCGTTCTTCTTCCTTGATTTACCACCACTCAACAAGTGTTAAATTGACAAGGAATAACACTTCGAATTTTTTAATTAGCTGTAGCTAACAGAGGTGCCTCCGGAAAACACTTGATTTCTATACTTTTGATAATGAACGCAAATTACTTTATCGTAAGCAGTGACACTATACTACGGCGTTCCCCGTGAATCCCAGCTACGACAAATTGTTACAATGAGAAATACGACTAGTCTCATCTTTACATATAATTATGAATTAGTGGCTATAGTATTGGTCACGCTGGATAGGGGATGAGAAATGAGTTCGAATTCGAATTACTTACAAAATTCAAAATTTTCGTATCGAATTCGAAACCAGACGATCTCAAAGAAAATAATGATTTATTTGCACACAACAATGTTTGTGTCGATTGGTTTGAAGTGATTGCATAATAATTTAAACAGTATTTTCATTTTAATATATGTTCTCACCTTTTATTTTTAGCGTTTCCAACAAGTTCACATAGATCAGTGAGAAAGTCCATGCTGTTTACTTCTAAAGGAAATTCATCATTATATTTTTCAGAATGTTGAAGATATTCAAATAAAAACATAAATAGACTTTTCCAATCAATCTGAAATTAATGTATATAATATATAATTATGATTAATAAGCATAAAGCTATTGCTATTTATAAATACGTTGTTGTACAGTACCTGTGAACAGTTCGAATGTAATTCTGATATAGTTGTATTTGTTGAATTATCATTATAATCTTTATCTAGAATCTACAAAAAATTTAAAATTATTTTTAAGTATGGATTCTATTTTTAAGTTAACAAATATCAATATTTCTATTTACTTTTGCTAAAGATGTTTGAAAGTCGATTATTTCATCAATATGCTTGTTCTTATTTTCTGTTGACAAATCTAATTCAGAAAGTACGTAGTCTATCAAATTTACATATTTCTTTTTTAACTTAATCCACTTTTCTTCAGTCGTATTCAATAACACAGTTGGTTTAACGAAATCAGATCCACGACTTATCTACAAACGAATGAAATGTTTACAATATTATATAAATTACATTGCATAAATTACTATAGTGCCAATTATTTACAAATATGAAATGTTATATAAATTTTTATTTATTAACTTAGTTAATCTTTCATCTTTGAAAGAAAACAAGACAGCGTATCAGAAATATAATTTTATAATAGCGGCAAACTGGAAAGTTTATAAAAGTGTAGCTGTTTTCCTGACTCTCATTTCAATTCTGTGCATTATTAATTCATTAATGGAGTGTTTGTGCATTGGTAATTTGGTAAAATGTTTCGTTATAAGCTTATGAACAGTTGTAACGTTATAAGAAGTATAAGCGAAGTCTCCCGTTATAATGTTTCGTTATATAATAATGTAGTAACTATAGTCAATCAGAGTAGGTCTTTGCTAATAACGTGATGTACTATACTATAAAACAAAAGATTGTTATTTCTTTCTAAAACATGTCCATTGATATGAAGATTCAGTTTCGTTTTTCTGGCGGTGAAAACTGAATGGAATGTATGAATTATTGAATAACGTTTACAAAGGCTGAAAGTGAACAGCGATAGAATGTTTACTTGTATTTTATTGAGATAAGAAATAAATAAGATAAGAAATTAACTCCAAGATAAGAAATAAACTATATAAAATATGGTATTTAATTAAATAGATAGAGGCTGTTACATATTGGTAATTTTAGATTCGAACTTTGCAGTCTGCTACTGTTAAAGTAGGATATGCTTGGTACGGGGAGTATTCTTGTCATACATGCTAAATAGAGCACTCCGACAACTTTTCTACTGCTTGCAATCCATGACTCATATTAAAAAATAAATATATAACCTCCTCATATAAATTTTTTTGTGCTTCAAAAAGATCTTATCGTGTTATAAAGTGTGTTTATACGGAATATTTACTCATAATAGAACATCAAAACTTATAAAATTAATGTTCAATATATATTTTATAAATTTTCAATTACTGTATTTATAATTTTTATTAAAGCATAAATTACACGAACTTTTAATGAGCGATTTATTATGAAATATAGTACTGTATAATAAAATCGCAACTGATATTTTGTTTTCATTGATATATCGACAGTATTTGTCTTTAAATATCATTGTTAAAAAACAATGATGCTAAATGAGAGTTCATGATATCGATATATACGTAAACGTCAATTAATACAATATAAACACGAATAAAATTCAGTATTAAAATTTAAACTTATTTTATATCAGAAACACTGATAAAAGAATAGAAGATAGAGATTTAATAACAAGTATAAAATGCTTAGTCAAACCGCAAAATTTTAAGTACTGGGTAATATCGCGTCGCCGGACGTATCGTGCTTTTTCTTTGTCTCCCAACAAGAGCGATATAACGAAGAACTATTATACTATAATAAATAATATTCAGTAGCAAGTAAATAATATACATGTCTATAGGTAATTTGATCTTAATTATTACACTTATTATTATACGCTATGTGAAGTAAATTAGTACAAGTTCAGTAAAATTATACAAAATGTTCCCTATTACATTTTTAACATTTTAAAAAGTTCTATTATTATAAACTACTTTCAGAAAGTTAGCAGATCCTAACAATTTTATAAAAATACAATTTATTTTACGAAACGGAATTGGACATCAAGGCTAAGAAACGTCAGGTCTTATATATCAAACATGCAATATCTTCGAGAAAAAATAAAAATAAATAAATAAAACAAGTAGGACTGTGTCTTTTAGAAAAAAGACGTTAAAGCGAAGTTCAATTACAAATGCATTAAAATAACATTGATTACGAGATTATTTTCAACATAAAATACCACTATAAAAAAATAGCATTACACGTCCATAAAATATCAATTGCACAACACTAACAAATACATTTAAAAGCATTCACTGAAAACATGAAAATTTATTTCGTTATTCCTTCTTAACTTCATTGCTTTAAATAGAATTATTTGTATTGCATTATATAATAATAATATTTCAATACTAGCAGGTGGGCCCGGCGTTGCTTAGACAAAAGTAACGATAACTAAGATAAAGATTATTACGTTACAGTCAACCTTACCCGTTTTCACAGAATGCAAGAATTGGTTCTCCTTGAAGAATTTTTAGATGGGTCTAAAAATATGTTCGATTTCTCGCAAAAACGAAAAAACTGCATCTGCGTATCGCACGTCGCTTTCTCTTAACAATTCCATTGTTACGTAAGATTTCCATTGTTGACACTTCCATTGTAACTTAAAACTTTTATTGTTACTTAAAACTTCCATTGTTACTTAACACTTCCATTGTTACTTAGCACTTCCATTGTTACTTAACACTTCCATTGTTACTTAA